ATATATATATATATATATATATATATATATATATATATATATATATATAATGTGCATTTTATCTTATCTTACAACTTTGAAATACTTATTCATTTAAATTCACCCTACTTGCACCGTAGTATTCTGCCATGTTGTTGTTTACTATCTCTCTTTAGGACGTTATAAATATTATAATTACTTCTTCACTTTCAGGTAATTTATTTTTGTATCCTTATTGCATGCTTTTAGTATTTCTTGTTTGCTTGTTGATTTTTTTAGCGCGTCAAATCGGTTCTTCTCATCCTAAGCATTTCATTGTACTGTTAACCCTGTGTTAACCTGCATATGACAAATAAACACAACTTGAACTTGAACTGAAGACGTCACAATATTGCCCATTACAATCTCTGATCATTCATTTAAATGATCCAATATTACATATTCTATTTTGTGTTTCGTAACGCTTGATTTGAGTTACATGTTCTTTGTTTTATTCTTTACAAGTGTGCAGTCATGGACACTCATAACAATGATAGACTTATAGCAGTTTGCTTCCCTTTAAGATTTCACAATATTACTATCTCAAGTCTCATGGCAGTCACAGTTGGGTGTTTCATTCTGGAGATCTTTACAGATATAAAAGCTCTTTCTGTGATCATGGACCAGTATATCATCTGGCATGTGATGATACATTTTTCAATCATTGAATGGTGTATTATAGCTTCATTGTAGCCATCTGTTATCCACATGTACTGATATTTTTAACTTATGTTTGTATTTGTGTCTCACTAAGCAGCGTAGCATCAAGTTCAGTTAAACAAAATTAAACTAATTAAATTAGTTCAACTTTCATAATAGTAATCTTTACTATGGTGATATGGTTAATTATGTGATCCTGCTTGGCTTCTGCATATAATAAATAATATTGCTGAGCTGTTATTTATTTACTGACTTAAGTTCAAGAGAAATGGCTACTGGTAAATGTTAGGTTATGCAGTAGTGTCAAGGAATAGAGTTGTAAAAACTTTAGTGTACAGGTTTGTCAGTTTGTTCATAATTCATAATGTTGTTATTAATAATGAACTGTTTTCTTATGAACAATTGTTCATAATAAATCTCAAACTTCTGAATATGGTTTTAGAAAACAAAGCAGTTTAATTTATTAGAGGATATTAGTACTCTGTGTTATTTGTATGTGCTTTACAGGAATGACATAAAATAAATATTATACAGGATTTCTTTGTCGGTACAAAAATAAATGAATAAACTGGCAATGTGGCAGAGTTGTTGTTTAAAGACATCTGAAGTGTTTGTCATTTTGTGAAATATTTATAAAGTGAAGGGAACCTTTCAAATTATCAGGAAATATTTAAGAATGCTTACATAGGCTATTGCAAAAAAAACAAACAAAAAAACCCCCAACTGTTCATAAAAAAGCAGTGCCTTCCTAAACATCCAAGTCATGTAACCGCCTACATTTTATTTTCATTGTAAATTATGAAGTTAGCTACAGTCTGGTCTTAAAAAACAACTGTGTGAGAGAGTGTGTAGGAAGGCAACTGCTTGTAGATGGCGTGGATCTTTACTTTTTCTTCTCTCGTTGTTCTTTTCGTGCATTTTGGAACTTCATCATACAGTCTTTAAAATTCTGGACCTGCTTTTGGCAGGCTCTCCAATCTTGGTGTTCAGCCATGCACTCCTGGACAGCATAATGCAGCTCGGCACAGCCAGTACGGGATATCATCTTATCAACAGGGTCATCCTCATCCACGTCTTCTTTCAGTTTGCGTTCATGAGGTGAAGGGAATGACATCTTTACAGCACTGACTGATGCTGTAAATAATAATAATTTAGAAAAGGCAGATAATAGTTTAGTTCGAAAAGCAAATAAATGCAGTTTACACCTCTTTGCAGTGACATGTCTGATTAACCAGCTACAGAAGTGTTGACAAGAAAATACAATTGTTTTTAATTATTTAAATTTTATAGTTATATCTATTCTCTTGAATGTAATTGTACATGCACTTGAACATTTACTAAACATTAACATTAAACTATATATTTAATGCATTTTAAAACAGTTGCAAGGTGGTAAAAAAATAAAACCAGTGACACAATGTATGATTAAAATAAAAACAGCGTGAATAATGACACCCAACATGAGGGTTCTTCACTTATTTCTATTTCAGTGTTTAATTAATTTCGAGTTAAAAATAGTCTCATACTAAAGGAACTTAAAAATTGTAAATGAAATTGCAAAAATAAACACCTCCTCGACAAAACTAAACCTAATATTTTGAATTTTAGTAGTAAATAACTTTTAATATTAAACCACAAGTGGTCAAAATGACATATAAACAGCACAACATGCAAGAAGCTTTTGAACGAGCTCAATTTCTAACAAGTCAAAATAAGCACAAGCCTGAAAATCACTTTGACAGTTTATTTAGTGCTATTTTGAACAAGAACTTATTTAGTTATAGTTAGGTTTTAAACTAGAAGTTGTATAAAATCTTTACTAACGTACAGTTTGCTGCTTTTATTCAGAAATTACAACGCTTGTTATTGCTACAAAAGTTAGCGTCATGTTGACGAATAAAGATAAAAAAAACACTAAATTTGTTTCGATCTCCATTTTTACCTGTTTATTGTTTTCGGACGAGTCTCTGTCGAGGCGAAAACTAAACTCTTTTTGCAACAACTGTTACAACGAAGGACATGTTTGAACGAAGGACGGGTGTTACTGTATAATAGTTCCGTTGAAACAAACGTTAGTTCCGCTGGAAAAAAAAACAAAAAAACATCTGAAACCAATGATGAACTACATTTAAGCGAATGAAATATAAAAACGCTTAAAAACAATTTTGCTGCAGTTGTCTTAATATATATAAATTATCTAGGATATTTATACACAATATTTCTAAATGAAAGTAAACTGATACCTTAATGAAAATTACATGTATTAGATTTACATCTAAGACTGGTCCAACAGGTGGCTACGAGGACAGCCATTTTTTCTTTTGAGCTTTCGTCAAATATAGTCATTTAATTATGTTTAAAGTCTGAATTCTGCTGGCTGTATATGTAGTTGCTTATTTACATGTTTTGGGAAGTTTTGTTAAAATAAAATTTCTACATAAAGCACTTCACAGGATTGTAGAGATTGTTTTAAACTATTTTCTTCCCTGATTCTGGTTAAATATATA